ACCATAAGTGAGTTCTCTGATTCAGAGTAATCCAGGTGTGGGAACAAAGACATTTAACTTCAAATAGTTTGCTCACTGCTCATTTCCCTAAATGCTCTTGACACAAGCCATCTCTAATTATTTGGAAACAACTTAATCAAGGCACAGGTGTTCTTAACACAGATCTAGGTTGACCTGCCCAGATCAGTCAACCACATGAATCTGTCTATGAAACTCACCTTGGAGAATGGCTGCGGGAGAGAAAACAAGTCTTCTGTATGTTTAAGAGGTTAGTTCTTCAGCATCCCAAGGGCCTGGTATGTGATGGTGCCAACATATAACAAAGCATCAATCGCTGTAAAAGCCTGTTTCCCCCAATATGTCCCCTTACCTTCCTTGATGCTAGAAGGAACCACAGACACACTGCAAGGAACTACTCTGCTTTCCTCAATCTTCTGGAGTCATTAGGTGGTTAGGAAACACAACGTAGATGAGCTATGGCGTTTTCATATTTTTACTTAAGTTCTGAAATACACTGTCCTGACTTATAATCAAGTTCCTCAATTTACTCTTTCTCAGTCTGTGGTGACCTTCCCATGTATAAGGAAACTATTTGAAGGCCCTTGACCATGTTACATTCAGATGTCAGACCTCAAGATTCATCAAAAACTACAAGATTTTTAATTTCACTTTTAATTATCTTTTACTTAATAATAAAATGAAAAATATATGAATACATACAATCTATATACATATATTTATTGTAAATACTTAAAATTCTTATTAAAATGATTTTTCCTTATTTGTGAAAAAATATGACTTATTAAATGGCATTGACACCAACTTCTCTGTACATACCCTCAATTCCAATGTTAATAATTCCTTTAAAAAGGCAAGAGACACAAAAATTTAGCATTTACCAAACCAGCCTGTACAAACCTTATCACCAGAGAGGGAAAAATAGCTTGTGGTAAATAAGTCAATTTTCTTTTAAAATTAAAAATAAAAGCCCCAAATCATTCCCATTATTGCATTTTTTTTTTCTTTTGGGAAATAATCTGAGTGTTTTTAGAGCAACTCCTTTGAAATAACTTGTGCCTTAACAGTGAGACCCTACCATTAAACATAGTATACATGAGAAATTCAGTCCTTCACTGTCACTTTTTACAGATATTAAAATATATATTACTTAAAATATATTACTGGAAAGTTATTTTTAAATTGATCTTCAATAGTTGTATCAAATGTAAAGCATTAAAAAAAATAAAGTAACCAAGATTCTATGAAGCTACTGCTTCAACTTTAGGAAATGGCTACCTACTGCTTTGTTCAATAGGTATATAGGTATTGAAACACATAGGAAAAGGTCCCTGCCTGTCATGTTTGCAAAGTCTCTTTGGACTGTTCTATAAATTGAGCTGCAAACTACCCATGGCCAAGTTCAGCACTTAACACACAGTTGTAAAGCAACAAGAAACTTTCTTCTCCTTGTTAAGTCTGGGAGGAAACAATTCTGACATTGTTCATTGACAATGAGCTCTAAAATAAATCGCAAAGCAATGACTAGAGGAAAGCCTGCCCATAACAAACCATTTAACCCAAGAGCTTGTGAAGACTTTAAGTGGAGGAAAGCAGTGTAGTCAGAATGGTAACTGATGGGGCTGTTGTATGTAGGACAACACACCTTCACCTGGAAGGCAGTGAGGTCTTCCTTTGTCTATGAATCCACATCTGAGATAGGCTCTCAAATATCCATATCTCTATACCCATAGAAATGCAGCCTTCCCCTCGCAAGATAAGCTCCCTCATCTTACTCTTTTAAGAAACGTCACACAAGCTGGGCGGTGGTGGCGCACGCCTTTAATCCCAGCACTTGAGAGGCAGAAGCAGGCAGATTTCTGAGTTCGAGAGTTTGAGGCTAGCCTGGTCTACAGAGTGAGTTCCAGGACAGCCAGGGCTACACAGAGAAACCCTGCCTCAAAAACCAAAAAAAAAAAAAAAAAAAAGAAATGTCACACAGGACATGGGAGACAGCTTTAGTGTCTTGAGCACAGGGGTCAAAGAACCAAGGCCAGATAAAAGACTCCAGGTTACCTGTATGGCTCCCCCAACCCCTTATTAGTGGGCTGAAGAATGTTGATTATTCAAAAAACAAAACAAAGATGACTTTATGATTCAGGAGTGTTCTACTTAGGCAACTCAGAACACCGAAAAATCACACTGAGATGACACACTACGAATACTATCCCAGGGGTGATTTACAGAGACTACTTTGAAGGCTAGATGGGGCACACAGCCCCATCAGGTATATCAGGTATGATATTTATTACCTCACTGGAAATTGCCACCCAACAACCAAAGAACAAACTTAGCACTTATTGAACCAGTTCAGAGTTGACTTAAAAGTAAAATAACCGAAAGGCTATGACAAAACTGGTCTTAACAGTTACTGGAGTGACAAACTCAAAGGGCCAGACTAGTTTATTTTCTGTCCATTAATAAGGTGAAACCATGTTTTAAAGCAAATAGACTAAATGGATTTTTATTTAATATGTTTTCAACCTAAAAAAATAGCTGGTAAATCCTGCTTCTGGAATACTTTTGAACACAAATTAGTTGGGTATTACTTAGTGGAATCTAGTGAAGAACGGTACTTAGGACTTAAATGGCCTGAGTTTGGATCAAGAAGAGTAACAATGTAATTCCTCTTTAAATGGACCTGACAGTTCCTAACATCTTCCTCCTGTCCATCCATTCTCAGATTAAGGTAACTATGGAGCAAAAGCCTTTCTAGAAAGAAAGGAAGTAGGAAAATTATTCTCACCAATACAAACTAGTCACTGACAGCAGGAGGTCCATTCTGAATTCATTGACCTTCTTCCAGCAGGCTAGACAAGGGAGACTACTCAGATAGGGGTCTTTTAAAGTCCCATGGGGACTACCCATTGTCCTGAAAGTTTGGGAGCAGAACCCTGACTTTTATTTCTTACTGGTCCTTCACTTCAGAACATACATACTTCTTAACCTTGAATCCTTTCGGCCTTTCTTTTCTCTAAGCAATTTCCAGAAATAAAAAGGGGAAGATGGAAAGATGTCACATTGTCTTGACTAGTGCTGTATAGAGAACTTAAACCTGTAATTACTTAGGTCCACAATAGCAGGGAAAAAAAAATGAAGGGTGAATTTCAGAGTTTGGAGCAGGGACTGAGGAAGCACTCCCAGTGTTTGATGCAAAAAAGTATGGTGGCCAGGGGTTAGCATTACAAGGCAGGCAAAATACATTACTGTCTCCTTTCTCCAATCTGGAATGTGATGTAATTAACAAGTTTAGACTGTTCTGAGCTTTATAAATAGCTTTTGAGATACACCTATACTGGGCTGCAATGTTACACCACATACTTCAAATCAGGAGACTTGAAATTAAATAATACAGACTATTTATTTAATATTAAATTCTGGTAAACTATTTTCTTTAACCATCTTTAATTGTAACTTTTTTTTTTTTAAAGAAAAAAACAAAAAACAAAAATCAGTCTTTCACTGAGTACCCTGGAACTTGCTATGCAGACCATACTGGTCCTAACCCAGTAACCCAGGAAGATTCACCTCCCTTTTCCCTCTGTGCTGGGATTAAAGTCGTGTGTCACCATGCCCATCAGTTTCTTTTTTAAAGATTTATTTTATATTTGTGAGTACACCGTCACTGTCTTCAGACACTAGATGGCTGTGAGCTACCATGTGGTTGTTAGGAATTGAACTTAGGACCTCTGGAAGAGCAGTCAGTGCTCAGAAATGCTAAGCCATCTCTCTAGCCTCTTGTTTCTATACTTCTTTTATTTATTTAGGGTTTTGTTTGTTTTTGTTTTGAGACAGCTTCTTAGATAGCCCTGGTTGTCCTGGAAGTCATTATGAAGATCAGGCTGACTTTGAACTCAGAGACTGGTCTGCCTCTGCCTCTGGAGTGCTGGGAGGATTTAAAAAAAAAAAAAGTCAAAAGGAAAAAAAACCAGCAAAATCTCACAGCCATAAATTCCATTAGTCACTCACAATGCCTTTTCACATTAGGCATCCTGGCTGTCCAGACAGCTGAAATAGTTGACTTGCGTTCTAAACCAGCAAACTCTTCTTGTACTCTGCGTGTGTGTGTGTACGCAAAAATTTATTATAGTAGGATGGCATAGGGTAGCTGTGTCCATCTCTTTATGTTCTGGATGCCAAAGCAGAGTACCACTAAAGACCTTTTCTACCTAAAAATAGTTTGAGAGAACAGGAAGACTGTATTTTCTGTCCAGTGTTAAAACCACTCTTCCAAATTCCTTGAAGGTTCAGTTTCTTCAATTTCATTTTTCTTTTCCAACATTACACAGTATACACACACACACACACACACCCCTAATGTGTCTATCTGTGGGAGCCTATGAATGATGCAATGTCGGGATGTATTATTGCTGGAACTACTGCCATGTACATACTAGTCTAACATAGGAGTTCCTTAGAAGCAGAAACGCTCTTAACAGCAGAGCTCTGCTTCACAACAGTACTGATTCATGGAAGCCAAAAGCTAAGCCAGGACTGTGAGGGTCCTGTCTGGGATGTTAATACCTTTTGAAAATGGTTTCACCTAAAGTAAAGGGATGAGCAAATCCCCAAATCTAAGTCCCACAAAGGCCATCTTATTTGTGAAGAGCCTGAACCGGTCTGTGATGTCATAAACAGCACAATGTTCACTTCCTGACTTTCCTTTTCCTAGCCCAGGGAGAGGTCAGAGGCAGCCAGGTAGCTTCCTTTCACCATGCATACCATTGAACTTTTCTCAGTCAAAAGAATGAAACATAAATCTGAATGTAAAAGTTAACACATCATCACCTAAATACTTTGAAAAAAATGTTAAAACAAAATGTGACATATTTACATGATTTTGTAAGTGCAAACTTTGTCACCAACTCAGTTCTATTTGACTCAGACCTACTATACAAGGTGCTCTTCCTGAAAATGTGAAGACCTGCATTCTGTATTCCTGATTAACGTCTCTTGAGACAACTGAAACTTTATTTCTGTGATTTAAAAAGGGTGCAACATGTCTTTTTAAGCCTACCCTTCCCTCCTTTACATATGCTGTAGTCTTATTACCGAACAACGAGGCAGGAGACACACAGTTTGGAGGGGCCAATGCAGTCATCATGGCAGAAAGCTCCACATCCTTTGCACATGATCATGGCTTTCAACCGGCAGTAACATTTTGAAGGTGTGTCCTCGATACTATTCTCATCAGGAAAAGTCTGAACAGGAATTGTCTGGCCATGGCTGCTGGGATTCATTGCTTGGCTAGCAGGAATGGTAGTGACAGTTACTGAAAACGACATGACATCTCCTACATTGCTAGATACCTGGCTGCCTGGTATAGCAGAGTTATGGTCCATGTCTGATGAGGTGGAGACATTGATCATGCCTCTATAGCTTGGCCCTATCTGTGTGGGGCTTTCATATAATTTTGGGGTTTGCAGTGGTGGAAGGAGTAGAGGCTGATGTGTGGGGCTGTCTGCAGGGAGAGAAAGAGCAGCAGAACTGAAACGCTCAGGGCTGCTACATATTGTCTTACCTCTCACAGTATGAGTCATTTGTTTATGTGCAGCCTGAATAAAATCTCTGGCTAGGATCTTTTCATCAAACGTTTGGCCTCTAGAGAATATGTAATTCTCCTTGCCTAAAGTGGTTTGTTCACTCACTGGTGGCTCGGCCTTACCATTCTTGCTAGCTAAACACTCATTGGTGGATGGAGGTTCCCCACTGTAGGGCTGCTTGCCAGAACTCTGAGAAGCCCAGGGCTCCTCCTTCACTGACACAGCTTCCTGTTCATCACCCACACTATCTTCATCACTTTCATCTTCTTTGCTGCTACTGCTTTCTCCAGTTGTGGTTTTACAATCTGCATGTCCCATTCTCAAGGCCTCGGTGGGGCTACTTAGACAAAAGCGTTCCTCAGGATTTACAGAATGGGTCCTCTTAACGCTCTCTGTACCCCGGCCATAGGTGGAGATATTAAGTAAATAGTGACCTGCCATTGCAGGCTTGGATGTCCTTCTGCCAGCAAAACCCAGTGTGAACTTCTGGGTTGTGGGGATGTCTTCCAAGTGGAAACCTGAGTGAGCAAAGCTGAACTGAGAGGGCGGCACAAATGAAAGAACACTCTGCCTCTGAGCCCTCTGGAGGAGAGTCTGAAAAAGCTGATCTTGCGTTGTTTTACTTAGACCTTCTTGGTACTGGTGAGTGTCAATGCAGGGGTCCTTCCGGTCCTTAGCAGTGAAAACTGGCCTTGGAACCTGGGAAAGCTGTTTACTTTGCAAGGGTTTCCCCAGCTGCTGGATAGCCAGATGGGCCTGCCTGCCATTAACTTCCTCTCTGTTGCTACTTTCAATTACACTGGTACCAGGGAATATCCCTATTCCCTTTTCCTCTTTTGTAGTCAGTAGAACTGTTTTCATTTCAATTTTGGTGAGAGGTTTAGGCAGAATTTGCTCCAAGGGAACCTCTTTGCCCTGAAGTAGCTGAGTAACTAAAGGATTATTAGCAGGGATACTAGAACTTGGTCTTGAAATGGGTCCATTCATATTTGCTGGGGTTTTAAGGCTAGAAGCTGCTGGCAAAGTGCTTGAGGATGGAGCTGATCCAGTAGATGTTGCAGTTCCACTGATCTGGGGTACAGGGAGTTTTTCTAAACTGGCTGTTGTCAATGAAGATGTTACAGGAGAGGAAGTCATATCTAGTGGAGCAGAAGCCGTTGTCTTTGCTAAGGCTGAAGGCTTTGGTGCATTCTTATTAGAACCTGCTTTGGGCTCAACTGTGCCATCAGCTACAAAACAAACAGGTGAGGCTCCTGAGATCAGAGGAGGCCCTGTTGGAGACAGAGCTTTCTCAAGTCTGCAACTCCTAGGGTCTTGCGAGTGGCAAGGAGAGGCTGCTGTGGCTGTTGCCTTGTGGGGGTTTGGTTTCTCACTGTCTGATGTTTCTATGTGAGCTGGTAATGGGATGTCTGTGCGTGCTGCACTGATGGCACGTCCTGCAGGCACTGAGGAGGTTTGCTGTAGCTGTGCTCCAGAGACACCAGGAGGCTGCGTCTGGCCTGCTGTATTGGTCTCAGGTTGAGGACCACAGGGTAAAAGTTCTCTCGTACCTCCCCTGCTTCCAGTTCCCGGCAGTTCCAGTGTGGGACCTTTTGCACTTGTACTGACTGGGTCTGAGCCTGCATTCCCTCCTCCAGCAGTTTTCCTTTCACCACCCTCTCTTGGACTTTGTCCACCCCCGGGGCCAGGTCCTGGAATGGTCCCTCCAACTGAGGCGGCTGCAGCGGCTGCAGCAGCGGCTGCGGCTGCTGCCTTTTGTGCTTTAACCAACTGGGCTTTTGCTTTGATGTCTGCCAGAGTTCTGGCTCCTGTTCTGTAAGGACTAGTGATGGAGATTGGGAAACGAGCCCTGGGAGAGACCTGCGATGTAGAAAACAGCATCGGGGAGATTCTGGAGACAGGGATCTAAAAAACAGTAAGGAATGGGGGAAGGCAGAGATCAATTTTCAGCTGTAAGACTAGAGCAGATAACGCAAAACACCCATGACACACATGGCTGCTCTACAACTAAGAACACACACACATTGTGTCTAGGGTTCAACCCTACTTCGTCTACCCACATAAAGGCCCATGCACATACTGTCTGCCAATCATTTTCACCCCAGATAATTCTGTACTTGATTGTATAACCTTTTTAAAATGTATGTGTTTTGGGGTTCCATCCCCCAGCTTATAAATCAGAATTGCTAGAAAAATATGTATTATGCTAAAGAAAAAAATTGTGAAAAACTACTAACATTCAAACCATTAACTTTTTTCTTTTTTTGAGACAGACAGGATCTCATTATATAGTTTTGGCTGTTCTAGAACTCATAATGTAGACCAGGCTGGCCTTTAACTCACAGATCCCCGTGTCTCTGCTATTAACAGTAAAAGCATGTGTCACTATGTCTACTCTGAAACCACTGGTTTTTGTATTACAAAAGAAACTGATTGTTGTCTTAAGAGCACCGAATGTTCTTCCAGAGGTCCTAAGTTCAATTCCCAGCAACCACATGGTAGCTCATGGAGGATCTGATACCTTCTTCCAGTGTGTCTGAAGAGAGCAATGGTGTACTCATATACATAAATAAATAAATCTTAAAAAAAAAAAACCTTTGGAAGTAAAGGAAATTAACTATAGTGAATGCAGATATGACGCCTTTTAGTATTTGGTGGAATAAAAAGGAGCAAAAACTGATAACATTCTAGAGTACTTAATTTCAAAAATTAAGTGATCAATTATAAGAAAAGCATGTCATCTTCCTGTAAATTCTTCAATTATAAATTGTAAGGTCACTATTTTTCATTATTCAAAAAGTCAGAAGTATTAAAAATCAACTTCCTATACCTCAGAAATCAGTGTTATTTAAAAACAGTTGTCATAAAATTAATACACTTAAGAAGTATACTCAGTTCTAAAAGCTTGGACAGCATCATTTACTTAACACAGAATGGCTTAGAAGCTCTGTGGGTAAAAAAGAAGCAATTGTTGCCTCTTGCTAATATAGAGAAGAGACTGTAAGAGAAAATAGACAAATTTATTAAATAAAACACAGGAAATTTGTTTGGAGATAAACAGTCTTATTTGAGGATATTTTTAGCTAAGCCTAGTCACAAAAGCCAGTTATCCAAGGGTAAGGCCATAGGTGCAACCTATATGTTAGTTCAAGGCCAGCCTGGTCTACAGAGTGAGTTTAAGGACAACCAAAGCTACACAGTGAAACTCTTAAGAAACAAAACAAAAAAGTAAAAGTACCTAATAACTTTGCTTATAGTAAAACCACTTAGTAAGTTATATTGTTATCGCACCCACCACAGAATGCTTTGTATTCTTTTATTTGGTTGGTTTTGGCTGGTTTGTCTTTTTTTTTTTGAGACAGGATTTCTGTTTTCGTTCTGGCTGGCATGGTATTCTTTTTGTAGAGATATCTTTACAAAGATTTGCCTGCCTTGGCCTCCCAAGTGCTGGTGTTAAGACTGTGTATATATGCATGCACACACACACACACACTTTTGAAGATTATGCTTATATACACCAAGGTTGTCCTCAAACTTGTGACCTTCCCAAATGTTGGGATTACAGTTATGTTTCACCATGCCAGGCTCTTAAAATACTACGTGAGGGTTATCATCCTTCCCAGGACAATACAAGATGACTTAAGTCATCAGTATTAACATACTGAAATTAAACAAGGACAAAGCAGTTAGAAGTTTTTATATGCTCAAGTTTGAATTATTTTTTGTCTTCATGAAGCATTAATGAGATGTTATATTTTGCTTTTAAGAATAATGAACAAGCTGGGCGGTGGTGGCGCACGCCTTTAATCCCAGCACTTGGGAGGTAGAGGCAGGTGGATTTCTGAGAGTTCAAGGCTAGCCTGGTCTACAGAGTGAGTTCCAAGACAGCCAGGGCTACACAGAGAAACCCTGTCTCGGGGGAAAAAGAAAAAAAAAGAAAAAAAGAATAATAAACAAGCTGGGCAATGGTGTTGCGTTCCTGTAATCCCAACAATGGACGGCAAAGGTAGAGGCAGAGGCCAACTTGGTCTACAAAGAAAGTTCTAGGACAGCCAGAGCTGTACCACAGAGAAATCTTGTCTCAAAAAAACAAAACAACCTACCAACAAAAAATACAAACCAAAACAAACAACAACAAAAACCAACCAGCCTCTGACTCCTGAGATTAAAGGAATATACCACCATAGCCCAGCTAGATTGTTACTTTTAAATATTATATAAACAAAACACAATAGATCAAGTTGCAAAACTAATATTAAAATTCAAATTTTGTATAGAAAGTTCTTCTTTTGTTATTTGTTGTTTTGAGAGAAGGCCTCAATGGTTTAGGCAATTCATTATCTTCAACTGCTATCTTTCCGGAGCTGTTGTTATATGCATGTAGAAACAAACTGGCTAAAACATTCTGTTCTGTTATAAATTATGGAAGCTAGATAGAGTGTAAGATAAAAGAGTAAAACAGCTTCTGACCCAATCTATAAAGGGCAAATTCTATAAATCTGGTCAGAGTGGATTAAGTCTTCAGTGTAAACCATTCTATATTAAACTAAAATTTAATACAGCTCCTAAGTCTAGAATTTATTTCTAATTTGACATTCACTGAAGAAAACTTTTTGGCCATTAATTCCAGCACTCAATAACCAGCAACAGAAAGACTGAGAATTCAATGCCAGCCTGAGCTGCATAGCAAGACTTCAAGACTTCGCCTCTAAGACATGAATTATTCAGATCCCTTACTCAAATATCAAGAAAACAATGTAGGAATGCATTTCTAAAGCCTGACTATTACTAATTTTATTTATACAACACCACAGTTATATGTATATTAAGTGTACACTACTGGTTCTATGTTAACACCACCAGTTATGAGACTTAGCAGGTATAACAAGCACGTTCTCACCTTGAGAGGTGGGACTTTTCGCACTTGGACCCTGTCCCCTCTATTAAGAAAGGGCTGTTGGGAGACCTGAAATGGCTGCTGGTGCTGGCAACTCTCAGTGATACGTGGTCTTTTCTCCCAGCTGCCAGTTGCCTCTTCTTGGGTAAGAGAAGATTTCCTCTTGAGACTTTCTGAAATCTGATCAGTAACAGTTGTTGGCGGCATCTTCAAATCAGGGTCCAGTGGACCGGCTTCACCAATAGGCTTTGTTATGGGTTTTTCTAACCCAGAATTTTTAGATTTGCTTGGGGATATAGCTAACACTTCTTGGTTCTCACTTTTGTTATTACTAGAAGTTGTGGTGACATGATTTTCTTTCTCAGACTCTTGTTCAACAGAGGCAATTGGCTTCTGTTCTAAGAGACCCTCATTCTTAGGGCTCCTGGTAGGCTTCATGGTGATAAGCTCATTTGTAGTGCTAGCTGATGTAAGAGAAGGTTCTGGGGATTTAGACTCTGGCCTTGCCTCGTCTTGGCCTTCTTCTTTTTTGAATGGTGATGATATTTGCACTGCTTCTTCTTTACACTTGGACTGAGGAACTACTGGGATGATTCTGACAGGAGAGGCCTCTGAAGGAAGTACGGATTTTGGCTGTTCGGCTGGGCTTTTCTTTGCCTTGGGATCACTTGGGGAAGCTGTCAGTTTCTGTGAATCTTCAAGGCTTAGGCCAGAACTAAAAAACAGAAGGAGCTGTTAGTTGGGAAATAGCCCATGTTACTGAAAACATGAGAAACGTAGACTATGTCAATAACTAGAAAACCACTGACACACAGTAAGTATTTTTTTGTAGAATTCTTGAGCCAAAGTAATTAAATTCAAATCCTGGCTCTGATACCAATTGTTGACAAGATACTGACTGGCTCTGTATGCTTTTGCATCTTAGTTCTTTTACTTGAACACTGGAATTAACAACTTCAATGTTGCTGCTGATGAAGTTACTCCATATGAAGTACTCACTTGGTACACAATAAAAGTTCTATAGTGGTGGCTGTTATTGTTACTTCTGCTTATATAGGAGTCGTAATATCTAGAAACTCACAGGCTAGCTAAAAGAACCTAAAGAAAGGTCAAGTGCTTCTACTCTGAGACTTAGGTTGGAACTATGATCAATTTTGCTCACTAGTGTTTATAGGAAGGTTGGCCCCAGACTTCTAAGGGGAACCTGAGAAGACAGTTGAGCTACCTGGGGGTGGAAGTCAGCAGGGACTTGCAGCATGGCTTGGAAAAAGTGAAGCTAATTTTTATGGGTCACCAGTGACTCTTTTTACTGTTTTATAGTATTACTTAACCAGCAACAACAACAATCAATTAAACCCCCTCTAGCACCTTAAAAGAATTAGTAATAAAAACCAGTCTATTTAGCTCCAGTGAGATGTCCACCTAGGTTTGAACTAAGGAACTAATATGCTAGAAAGAACCAACTCCACACTGTGGCATGTGCACCCAAAGATTTACTGTGACTTATTACAGTATACTTACCATCAATTTTATCTATTTGTCTATATAAATTTATAGAAAAATCAGCAGTTGAGATTCTTAATTTTAGTAGGTATCTATCTTAAATGAACATTTATACTTGGAGAAAAAAAAAAAGCCTTACTTTTCTCTGTAGTCAATGAAGCCTTCTCCTTGGTGTTTCCTGCTATGCAGAGGGAGACTAACAAACAGGAGCTGGACTATGTAATCCTACTCAAACCAAACAGATTATCTATTAAATTTACCCAGTAAAATTTCATTTTGATTGTTCTGTTATCCAAAAATTAAAAAAAAAAAGTTGTTCCAGACTTCAGCCCTTTAAAAATAAAGTGTGTGTCTTGATTCAGTGATGAACATCTTCCAGTCGCAGAGGAAAGGATTTTAATTACAGGTTTGGTATAATGGCCCACCATTACATGACTCTTTGGATTCCTGACTGGTTTAGGTTAACAACATTTTGGAAAATCACTATAAAAATGCACAGAACTCTCAAGTATTATTCTATCTCATGAAATTACCAGAAGCCAGTCTTTTCCAAGGAAGAACTCTAATTTAAGATTAAAGAAAGAAGAAAGTGGAACCCTCTTTGCCTACAATGTAAGCTAAAAATCAAAGATTATGAGTGATTCAATTCTGTACATCCATGATTCTTTAAAAACAAAACAAAAAGCTGTACCTTCGTTTTGGTTTTTCAAGATGAGGTTTATCTATGTAACCCTGGCTGTCCTGGAAATCACTCTGTAGACCAGGTTGGCCTTGAGCTCACCGAGATAAACCTGCCTCTGCCTCCTGAGTGCTGGGATAAAAGGTGTGTGCCACTACTACCTGGCTAAGGCTATTACTAATGAAGGAACTAGGCACTAGACTCTCCAATAAGGTAAAAACATCGAGGTATCACATGACATTAACATCTGGATACACAGTCTGCTCTAGCTTACCTCTGACCATAGTAACTTTCAAAAAATTGTTCCTTCCATAGCTCCACTTTCTTCTCCTTCTCAATCTCTTGTCGAATTCTCACCTGCATTTCAGGAGTAAATTCACCTGTAGTGTATCAACAAAATGATATTAACAGAAAGAAAGGCATCAGTCATAGATTCTTATCATGAATGACTCATACCAGAACAGAATATTATCATGTCAAAGCAACAACTTCCCAAAGAAGCAAGCCAGAAAGGAGAAGGAAACACCAGTAGGTGGAGTACAGACACTGTCACAAACTACCCTGTAGTTTTCAATATTCAGATGTTGGCCAAAAGTGGCTATCATCTTTATAGTCATCTCAAGTCATATATCTTGACAAAAGACTTGTTTTTAACAGCATGTAATAGTTGAGCGTAGTCTGATAAACATCTTGTTATACTGTTTAGTGTAGACATGGCTACAAGACACGTGACGTAGTGGCTTCAGTTGAGCTTGTCCATGAGGACAAGTCACGTGGTAAAGGGAATAAATACCCAAGATTTCCTTTCTATGTGTGTGAGGAGAATATGGAAGAAGAGAGGAGAATAAAGAAGAGACTTGACCAGACTCTGTCCTGTATCCATCTTTTGCGTCTCTCACCCCTCTTTCGCCCTTCCTCCGTCCCCACTTTCTCTCTTGCTAGACCCTGACCTGTGGACCGGAACAACAGAACGGGCCATTACAAAGTAACAGAACCAGCCGTTACAAAAGAAACGACAGTTACCTTCAGATAAGGCCCATAGTACTTATTACACTCCAGTTGTTCCCCAAAGAGTCTTCTTCCAGTTATAAACAACATATATATCATGCAGATTTCTTCTCACCTCTAACACTGAATTTCAAATTTATTTCCTAATGGAATGAGAGTAATAAATGTGTGTCCAAGAATAGAGTTGTATGAGATTCCTCAGTTCTTGTAAGAAAACTCCAAGAAATAAGGACAGAAATAAAGAGTCCAGAAACTCCAGAAATAGAGTCTTGTGACCTCAATTTCTTAAACAACAACAACATGGAATTGGTTTTCGATTGTGCCTTCATGCCCCTCCCGGGTGTATCAGATAGGAGCAAGTTTACCTTACGTTATTCATTATATCTGGTTATTGTTATTTATTTATAGGCCTCTATGGAAGACATGATTTTGCTGTGTGTGACTTATGTGACCGCTCTTAAGCCTCAGTATACATAAACTGGCTGATGCACTGTCTCATTTATTAGCTCCATTTTCTTAGGTCCCACAGCCAACTAGAACAGTGACAAATGGGTTTTCAGTAAATAACTGAATACTTTGCCATTTTAAAGTTGGGATTCTTCAAAGAAAAGTATGCTTGAGGCCTTCCCCACATAATAAAAAGTTACTTGAAAGCATTAAGATTCCTAAAATACAAGGTAGGCAGTTTTCAGTTGTCAGTTTTCAAAGTGCCCTAAATATTGTACCAATCCAATGCTACTGTACTCCACATACTCAACCTTCAGATACTCTGAATATGGTGCTCATTTGCATATACTATCAACCACCACAGTTTTCTTTACTATACCAGCAAAGAATAGAATGCTATCTGTAGGACATCTTAAGTCATGTGGCTTGGAAGCTGGAGGAGGATTACCACAAGTTGAAGGCTGTTATGGTCTACACAGTGACTTCCAGGGAAGCTTGGGCTCCACTGTAAGACTCTGTCTTATAAAAAATGCCAACCAACAGAAGTCATGGCTCGGATAGGTGATCTCTCTTAATAGACTCTAATACCTGGAGTATCAAGAACTAAGATGAAGAATGGGAAAAGTTGTAAGTTTAAGATCTCCTGGGAGTAAGAAGGAAAACAAAAAAGTAGGGAAGCTGGTAAGATGGCTTGATGAACGAAAATGCTTGCTTTCCATGTAGAACATTTCAATTAGCAGAGAATTGACTACCAAAGTTTTTCCCTGACCTCCACATATGTGACTCCATTTATACACTTACACATACACACACAGACACACACAGACACAGACACAGACACACACACACACACGAACATAACACTAAATAAAATCAAATGAAAATATGTAAAGAGGGTTTGGATATCACAGTCCTGAACAAAGAAATAGGAGAGGAAGAATTTAGCAGTCAGTAAAGCCTAGAACTTCTATTATTATCATGAATAATAGAACAAGGAATAAAAAGCACTGAGCTCTGTTCATATAGGGTTAGTGTCTACTGCTTCATGAAACATGAATAAATGGACACAGTTATGCTTTTAAAGTGGGCATTAAAGAACTAAATCCTTTACCGATTTATTATCTATCTTTTTTCTTACTTTTTAAAACAATGGGCAAAGTTTCTTCGTAAAATTGTCCTAGTACTCACTATGTAGGCTAGAGACTGGCCTTGAACTCAGAGATACATCTTTTTTTCTGGCACTAGAGATGGGGGCTGGGGGGAGTGTGTATGTGTGTGACCACATCTGGCGTACTATTTATTCAAGCACCTATGTGAATTAAGGAGTCAGGTGGGAGGGTGCATGGGGGGGGGATTCTTCACCCCCTTCTAAAGGCTTCCATTTGATGCATATGTGTACCCAAAACACTCATACTCATAAAATTAAAAACAAAACAAAAACTCATGTTGGTCTTGTGAGACCTCAGCAGGCACTGGGTTCAAGTACTTGTTGAGCAAGCCTGATGATGTGTTTCAATCACCTGAAACTACAGTGAAAAGATTTCTACATATATGGATTCACACATCAGTATCATATACATAGATATAGACACATCCACACACACAGAACATTTTTTTTAAAAAAATAATTGTGGTTTGAAAGAGGATGGATGCCTGCATAATTTCTACATTTGAATACTTAGTACTCAGTTGGTGGAACTGTTTGCCTTTCCACAGGGATCCGCAAGGGAGATGACCAGCCAGATACCCTGAATCAACTGTGGCAATAAACAGAGTGATATGTCACAGCCACATAGTTTGCCCATCTTTTCCTTTTCTAAGTTTAGTATACGTTTTTGCTTTGTTTTGTTTTTGAGACAGGGTTTCTCTGTGTAGCCCTGGCTGTCCTGGAACTCGCTCTGTAGATCAGGCTGGCCTCGAACTCAGAAGTCTGCCTGCCTCCCAAGTGCTGGGATTAAAGGCGTGCACCACCACTGCCCAGCCTTAGTATACATTTTTGCAGAAGCAGGTATACTTTGGTGGTTTGAAGGAGAATGGTCAGGATATGCTCATATATGTTTCAATGCTTCATCCCAGCTGAGGTAACTATTAGGGAAGGATAAGGAGGTGTGCCCTTGTTGGAGGAGGTATGTCACTGGGGATGGATGGGCTTTGATGTTTCAAAATTGCATTCCCAGAGTCACTCCCTCTGCCTCCAATATGCAGATAAAATGTGAGTTCTCAGCTACTATATTCTAGCACTGTGCCTGCCTGCTTGCTGCCTTGCTCCCAGCCATGTTGTTAATAGCCTCACCCTATGAAACTGTAAGCAAGACCTCAATTAAATGATTTGTTCTATAAGTTGTCTTGGTCACAGTGTCTTGTCAAGGCAATAGAAAAGTAACATATAATAACTAAATAACTGATACTATTGGTAGGTATCATATACAGTAGTGAAACAATCAGTAACTTTTAAAATATTCTACTATTAACTAGGAGTCGTGGCAGAAGCTTCTAATTTTAGTACTCAGAGGCAGAGAGACATGAGGATCTCTGTAACTTCAAGGCCAGCCTGATCTACAAAGTGAGTTCCGGGATAGCCAGGGTCACTCAAAGAAACCTTGTCTTGAAAAAAAAAAATTACTATTGCCTTCAGTACATCTGTTAAATCAGACACACAAGGACGAGTGACCAAGGGCAGTAATTCCTAAGTGATGGTCCATAAATGTTCCATTACTTCAAACCCAACAGTACATGAAATCAGCAATAAGATTTTAATTGTCACTGCTCTTCCTTACTATCCATGTCACTGGAGTTGGAAGGAAAAAGGAACTTACTTTGCTGTTTACCAAATGGATGCAAAGCACCATAAAATAACCAAGTCTTCAGTTTATCCAGTAGAAAGAACTCCCTACAATTTCAGTTCCTAAGTATTAATCTGGAATACTGAACCAGAGATGTTACAAAGAGTGCTTGAAAAACATAATATAGGGCTAAAGAGATGGCTCAATTGTTAAGGTTAGGTTCACAGCTAAAAGCCATTCGGAATTAACTAAACCATGAGTGGCTGAGCACGACTATGAGGAGTGTTCTTTTCTTAATTACATCACTTGCAGTGGGAAGACCACCTCTGGGTCACATCTTTTGGCAGCAGCCAATATAAGGAAGAAGCTTGTTCTTAGCTCACTCTTGCCGGCAAGCCCATTCCTACTGACATTGCAGCCTGCTTATTTTGGATTCCAGCATATACTGATGACCAGCTGAGACATCCAGTCTCATGGACTGAACTTACCAGATTCTTGGATCTTCTGTTTGTTGGTAGACAGCTATTGCCAGACTAGCTGTACCACAGTAAGCCATTCTAATAAATCCCCTGTGTGTGTGTGTGTGTGTGTGTGTGTGTACACATACATATTCAATCTCTAAGTTCTGTTCCTCTAGAGAATTCTGGCTAATACTTTTACCTTTGAAATGTATTCCAGTATCTCATGTAGTGAGGGACACTCAGACCCTGGGAGCCACAGGGCAGAACACTTACCTTCTGAGAGCCTATCCTTCCACCACTGGGCTGCAGAAGCGAAGAACTCATTGTTAAGGGCTGAGACATTCAACTTCATCAAGCCATCTGGACCAACCTAGGTCAAAGAGCAAGCCAGGGAAAACCATTCAAAGGAAAGGTGCAACAATGTTCACTTTATGTTAACAGAATGTATGTACAATCCATCCAGAGAAACATAGCTAACTCCTTTTTCTTACTGCTTAAAAAAAAAAAAAAAAAATGGGGGCTGGAGATATGGCTCAGCGGCTAAGAGCACTGACTGCTCTTCCAGAGGTCCTGAGTTCAAATCCCAGCAACCACATGGTGTCTCACAGCTATCTGTAATGGGATCTGATGCCCTCTTCTGGTGTGTCAGAAGACAGCTTCAGTGTACTGATATACAATAAATAAATAAATCTTTAAAAAAACCCTGTAATATATTTTATTCTTTTAAAAATATCCTTCCATGTGTACCTGTTTTCCTTTCTCACTTTTCAACTCCATTTCACAATCTTGGAAAAATATTGTTTACCGAATAACACTTTTTCAAAAAAGTTTATTTTTATTTATTTATTATATGTAACACGGTAGCTGTCTTGAGACACCCCATAAGAGGGCATCAGATCTCATTACAGATACCTGTGAGACACCATGTGGTTGCTGGGATTTGAACTCAGGACCTCGAGAAGAACAGTCAGTGCCACTGAGCCATCTCACCAGCCCCTTACTGAGTAACACTTAAATGAATGTTTTTCTTCTTTTGGTCAGAGTTAATTGTTTGTACTAAGTTATACAACACACTGTTAACTTAGTTTTTCTCTGAGTAACACTTAAATGAATGTTTTTCTTCTTTTGGTCAGAGTTAATTGTTTGTACTAAGTTATACAACACACTGTTAACTTAGTTTTTCTCACAGACTACACTGTAAAAGTCTGTTCAAGTCAATAGCCATATATTTAGCATCTTTGAAACTGTTGCATTTTATTTTATGGATGTGTTTCATTTATCAGTTTCCTAATGGTAAACATGCTCTTTGTGACCAATGTTTCCCCATAATTAATAAAGTTGCAACAAACATTCTGGCAGAGATGAATGTACCAATGTTTCTCTGTTTGAAATAGGGTATGACTATATAGTCTAGGCTGTCTTTGAACTTAGAGGTTTGCCTCCTAAGAGCTGGGATTAAGGAGTGTGTCACCTTGTCCAACTTTACTAGTGATTTTATTTCTAAGGACTGCACTGCAAGAACAAAACACAATTAGCAAATGAGATATTGTACTACTTTCTTAGAATGCTAAAACTACAGGCAATATATGTACAATACTCTTTTCCTTGCCAACAAGTATCAACATGTAATTTAATTTTGTGCCAACGTTGAAATGGTAGATGATTTCCTAGAACCTTTGTGTTGTTTGCTGTTGCTCTATGGTTATTAAACATGTAAGTCTGCAGTGGTCTTGTGAAGTGTCACTTTCTTATTTTTCTACTAGGCTACTTATTTTTATCAAACTGTGAGGCATACTCCCTCTCTACCCACCCCACACCCACCCATGTTGTCTACTAACTTTGTTTCTAATGCTTTGCCAAAGGGTTTAACTTATCTTCTTGTGCCTAGGGATGTATCTCCAGGATAGAGTACAAAAATAATTTTTTTTGGGGGGGGTGCAGGGGAAGGGGGTGTCCAGCAGTGGCAGGCAGCACTGGGCTATTGCATATGTTTGTGTGTGTGCAATGACATCTGTATGAAGGTCAGAAGACAACTTGTAGGAGTCAGCTCTCTCCTGTGACCATTCTGAGTCCTAGGGTTGAACTCAGGTTGTCAGGCTTGACTACAAATCCTTTTATCAACTAAATCACCTCACAGGTCATCCAAAAATGGTTAAATGATAAACAAAACTAAACACACACACACACACACACACACACACACACACACACACACACTTTTCCTCTCTTCATTTCTAAAACAAATTAATTCTTCTTTAAAATATTGGGAAAAGGTCCACTCAAATCATGTAAAAAATACTTTGTTTATAATATTTTCAACTTAAGCATTATCCACATTGACATAATGGAAACCTAAATAAAACTGTCTTCCTAGTATCACTCACTTTATCTCATCAATACTGACTAACTAGCTTCTTCCTATTTAAAAAAAAAAAAAAACACAAACAAACACATTTTAAAACCCTGTAGGATTGCTTTTTGTGGGAAGCTGTACTAGAAAACTCTTAATATCTCTTTCATTAAAATCACACATGGCCAGAGATGGACAGAGACGGCTAGTGGTTAAGAGCATGTTTTGCTCTTGCAGAGGACCCAGGTTTGGATCCCAGCATATACACAACAGCTTATAATCATCGTAATTACAGTTCCAGGGGATGTAGGGCACTCTTATGGGCACTTAAGGCACCAAGCACACATGCACCACACATACACATTTAAAAAACATATCTTTAAACCACCACCACTACAGATTTCTTTAAGAAAGCATAAAGATCATGAGTGCTTCTGAGAAAATAGCATCAGCCTGCCACAAAGAGGTTATGAGTTATGTCTCATATATCACTTCAGCCTATCACTCCCCAGCACGAGTACTTAGGGGTGGAACAACACAAAAAATAGGACATAAGGAAATGAGAGCACCCCATGAAATCAACAAAGTCACTTAAAAATCATACTCAAACTTCAATCTTCCTAATTTCTCCTATCAAGAATTGTCTAGATGAGTATCCTCCAAAGTAACTTTTTTGAAGAGATAAGGTAAAGAATAAAGTCACTAGGACCACTTTTCCTTTAGTCCCTACTGCTGGGAAAACATCTGATTATCTGAATTATCCAAAAGACTCTGAACTGTTTTCCCACGTGCTGATTATAGCACTAAGCACTAAGAAACTGGCATCAAAGTAAGTCTTATAGCAAACAGACCTCAAGCTGGTGTGATGGTGCACACCTTTAATCCCAGCACTCTAAAAGCAGAGGCAGGTAGAGCCAGCCTAATCTACATAGCAAATTCCAGGTTACAAAGAGAAACCCTGTCTCAAAAACCAAAAAAGAAAATAGATTTCAGAATGAGAAACACTTCACTGTGACTTTGTAGTCAATTATAATGATCTGTGCAGCTTACCTTGTGAATCTTACTATAAACTAAGAAATATAGTCTGTTATTACAAACTAGGAAAAATGTGTGTGTGCGTAGGTGTAGAACAACAGCCATGGCTATCCTGGAACTTGGCATTGTAAGGCAGGCTGACCTTGAACTCACAGAGATGATCTGCTGCCTCTGCTCCCAAAGTGAAGTGCTGGGATTAAAGGTATCCAGCATGGCTGCCTTTCATGTTGTCTTAATAAGGATTAAAAAGGAAAGAAACTAAACTTATGAGCTCACACATGCTAGGCAAGTGTTCACCTGCTGAACTGTATCCTTGGCAGTCTGTTTCTGTTTGCTGCTTTTGTGTATGTATATATGCACAGTGTATGTCTGGGAGTGGGTCATCTTGCTTTCCTCTACTTTTTTTTTTTTTTTTTTTTTTTAGGTTTTTCGAGACAGGGTTTCTCTGTATAGCCCTGGCTGTCCTGGAACTCACTCTGTAGACCAGGCTGGCCTCGAACTCAGAAATCCACCTGCCTCTGCCTCCCAAGTGCTGGGATTAAAGGCGTGCGCCACCACCGCCCGGCTCCTCTACCATTCTTCATTCTATTTTTAAGATGGGGCTCCTCACTAAGCCTGAGTTCTTCACTTTATCCTGAATGAGTGACTCTCAAGTCCCAGAAATACTGCTGTCTCTCCCTGCCCGGTATTTCGAATATAGGTCTATCACCCTGCCTGGCTTTTAAGTGAGTGCTGTGGATTGGAACACTAAGGTCCTCATGCTTGCGAGGCAATCAGCTTACTGGATGAGTCATTCACTCAAGTTCTCCCTTGCCTCTTTTTTTTGTTGTTGGTTTGTTTTCAGACAGGGTCCCATGCACTCAAGTCTTGAAATCCCAATCCTCCTGCCTTAACTTTCAACTACTGGGAAGTACATAGTACCTCACCCAATTTAAATGTTTGGGTTTTTTTTAATTAATCCCTTTATCTCACTCTTCTACTTAGATAAGATTCCGGGCCTTACTACCAGGCCTGGTAGAAATCAAACAAATATATAAATATATATATAAAAAGTATAAAAGATATAAGTGACTAGGGGCTGGAGAGATGGCTTAGCAGTTTCAAAGGACCTGAGTTCCTAGTTCCTAGCACCCATGTCAAGTGGTCCACAATCCTTACAATTCCAGCTTTTGAAACTTTTGACACTGTCATCTGGCCTCTGTGGGTACTTGCATACACAGCATATATGCACACAGATATATACATAGGCATAAATAAAAATAAATTCAAGAGACAAACTTAGAAAAACCATAATGATCTCACTTCCTCTTCATGGAGAAGAAAAACTTAACTAGCCATTTTTTTTTTTGGATGAAAACATTTTCAGACCTTATCTTATTGCTGGGCCAAAACAATGTCTTTCTGATCACTATTTTGGCAGTTCCCAACCCTTTGGTATTTGTTCTTGGTAGTTTTTTTTCTTTCAAAACTCATATTGGAACTTAAATTTTTTATTATGACAAAAACCATAAATGCTTCTTTAGAGAGATTTAACAAAAAAAAAGAAGAAACATACTTAACTAACATTAATATTTTATGTTCTATATACTTCTAGTTGTCTGTTTATCTGAATTTACATCTTTAGCTTGAGCTTGACCCTTCTTCCTTAACTGAGGTACTATCCTGTTGATAATAAAACAAGACAACTAAACTCGTGAACTAGACTCTATTGATGCCTGTATCTCAAACAGGAAAACCATTCCACTTTCTCCCCTCATCTTCCTCTCCCCCTCCAGCTTCATTTCTCCCACCCTGGTGGTCTTTTGTTTTGTTCTTCCTCCCTCCCTTTCTTTTTCTTTCATCACAGCACTAGCGACTGAAACTGGACCCTTGCATGCTAGAAAAGCATCTTACCATCAGCCTCTTATCGCCAGCCTGATTTTCTAATCAAAACCAAATAAGAGAGGCCATCTCCCTTATAAGGATTATTTTATAAAACTTATCTGCTAAGACACTTAAATAAAATATCCTTTTTCTAACTTAGTAGTGTAACCACTGCCTTTGAACCGAGATAGTTCCTATTCAAAGACTGAGGGACCCCCAGAAGCTTCAGAAGCAAAGGAGACCCAACTTGGGGGGGTCTCAACCTACGGGTTGTGACCCCTTTGGCAAATCTCTATGTCCAAATATATTTATATTACAATCCATATTCTCACAAAATTGCAGCTGTGAAGTAGCAACAAAAATAATTTTATGCTCATACAACATGAGGAACTGTATTAAAAGGTTGTAACATTAGGAAGGTTGAGCACCAACTGTCTAGAGGCTCCTAAAACTTAGAGTGTGTGTGTGTGTGTGTGTGTGTGTGGTGGTGGTGGTGGTGATGGGGTGCCCAGATCTGAAGCAGTAAACTCTCCAGCTGGGCAAGCTGACTGCTCATTGGTAAGGAGTTCCTGGGATGCAGTTTTTGAGTCATCAACAATAGCAGGGGAGACTTTCTTGCAATCCAGCTCCAAAGTTCTGTAAAGTAGTGCTAATAAGCTCACTGCTTTACTAAACTAAACGTGGGTAGAACCATTTCTTTTGTTGATTGGTGGTATTTTGTTCAGATATTTCTAAGGAAAGTAACACAACAGTACTGTTAATATCACACTTCTTTAGAAATACATTAAATGATATATTTTTTATTTGTTTGTTTTTGAGAGGCTCTAAGTAGCCCTGGTTGTACTGAAATATACACTCTGTACATCAAGCTGGCTTCAAATTCAAGTCTTTTGAACTAGGCATATAACTCAGTTAATTGAGTGCTTGCCTTTTACACATAAAGCCCTGGGTTTTACCGTGTGTGTCTGTGTGTGTGTCTGTGTGTGTGTCTGTCTGTCTCTCTCTCTCTCTCTTTCTCTCTCAATCTCTCAATATGGTGACACATCTGTAATCCCATCCTCAGCCGCACAGTCAGTTTAAGCACAGCCTAGAATATGAGATAATGATAAAAATGAGAGACTCATTCAGTTATAAAATTGTTTATGCTCGATGTGACACACCTGTCGATCAACCTCTGGGAGCAACAAAAGCAGGCGCTGCTGACAGTCTCCAGGAAGAACTGAAAAGGTGTGCTTGTTGATCAGTGCTCGAAGATTAGTATTAACCAGAATGGAATCGGGAGTCTCAACATCAATGTCAGCACATCTAGTCCTTTTCATTTGTCCTACAAAATTCAGAAAATATTATTTTATCACTTGGCTTCCTTTCAGTTTTGTAAGTAATCATAGCTTGCCATGTAGTAAAAGCAAAAATGAAAAAGAAATCAAAATTAAATACTATACTGACAGTTAAAAAGATCTTAAAAATGTCTAAGGCAAAGAAATTCTGATCATTTATAAAAAATAAACAATAAAATCTACAAGAATAGGTTTCTAAAAGTAAAAACTGTCAGATACCTAACAGCTTTCTCCTTCATTTAAACAAGTTTGTGAGAAACAACAAACTGTTTATCTACAGAATGCTTGTTTTTGTTTTTTGTTTTTAATCTTAATAGAAATCAGGGCTAGACAGATGGTTCACCGGTTCAGAACACAAACTACTCAGGATCCAGGTTTGGTTCCCAGCATCATGTGGCTCACAACTGCTTGAAACTCCATCTTTGGGGGAACTGACTGGGCTTCTTCTGGCATCCAAAGGCACCAGCGTGTAACTTGTGCACATAAACACATACAAGCACACATATACACATAAAAAATTCTTTTGTAAAGAAAATACGGCGGAGGAGATGGTATAGTGAGTAAAACACTTGAGTTGCAACATAAGAATCTGGACTGGAATCTTCAGAACCCATGTAAAAGCTCCTAGAGCAGGATGAGCAGTAAGACAGAATGCTCATGGGCCAGCTAGCCTGGTGTTTATAGTGGCAAGCAGCAGAGATCTTGCCTCATCAGACATGGCAGCTTATATATATGTTAAAAACCCAAGATGCCATAAAGTGGGGAGGGGAAAATGTTAAATTAAGGGAAAGCTGGGAATCAGTGGAGATAAGACAGGATTAAAATATATTGCATTTATATATAAAACTCTCAAAAGAATAAATACAGGAGGAGAGGAACCCTGCTTTGAACAAGGTAGAAGATAAGGACCAACACTTGAAACTTTCCTCTGACCTCCATGCAGGAACTGTGACCCAAACATGCCTATACATATGTATAAACACAATCCACGCTCTCACTTTCTTCT